TTTTTTTTTTTTTTTTTTTTTAATATTATTACGGTGTTTTCACTCTGGTTTACTCAGGTCAGGGTCTGGTCAGAGACCCAACATAAGGGAACTTAGGGATGACAACTATGGAATGGTGTTCCCCTGCCCTTTTACTTGGCGGTTCCTAATTCAAGAACTTTCCCATGGTCTAAGTGGCAGGGACTAAGGGTAGGTGGGCAGCTAGCAGGGGAGCAAAGACTGGGCTTTGTTTGGAAACCGCTGTTTTCCATCAAGGGAGGAACATTAGTTTGGCCTGCCAGCTTTCCTGACATTTCCATCCAGTAGAGAGAGCTGAGTATGGTTTCTACAACATTGGTGGGAGTAGCTGTGGATTAAGTAGTCTGAAGCTGTTCTAAATAAGACCTGGTGAATACGAAAGGGACCTACATTCTTAAGAACGTTATCTAGTTTAAATTTAAATGTATTTCTTCGACGTGTGTACTTTCTTTCCGAAAGTCAGCGGTCCAGGGACAGGAGGAAGATATGAGGACACGCAGGGGCACAGGCTCCGAGTCTGCGTTCGCCTCACTGAAACTCAAGAAACTGATTTTCCCAGCTGTAAAATGAGAATAGTGCATAAGAGCACACAGCTGTAGTACAAAGATAGGGGATAGAAAGTGCTTAGCACAGTGTCTGGAGCAAGGGCTCTCTGCAAACGTTAGCTAATAAAATTGCATTCACTCATTCATGGGCCTCAGTTCGCAGCCAGGTAGACTACGGACGGACACTGGCAGCTTCCAAGCCAGGTGAGACCAACAGGCAGCTTGCAAACTGCAGCCCAATATAGAGCAGCGCTGGCTCGCGTTGCCCCAGACCCCGCCCCGCGCGGCCCCACCCCCGGCACTCTACAGGCCCCGGCACTCTACAGACCCCGCCCCGCAAAACCCCGCCCCTTCCGCCGCCCGAGTCCAGAGCGTGCGCGCACCGAGACGCCTTGCGGGAGCGAGCGCGTCCAGGAGCCCGCGGGCCGAGAAGCGCTGCGGGTAGGGAGACCCGCGCCTGCGGCTCAGGTGAGGGCGGGCCCGGGGCGGTGAAAGGGTTAAAGTGGAGCCGGGGAGCCGGGGGAGGGAGCGGCTGGGCCTCTGAGGCTCTCTGCTCCTGTAGGCCAGGGACCGGGGAACGAGCGTGTTGGGAGCCGGGCGGCCGGGTGGGTGGGGGTTAGGGTTAGGCACGGTGTGGGGGAGGGGCCGTGGGCGCTGAGGTGCAGCTTAGAGGGGCGGGACCCGGGCCTTGGGCAGGGCGGGGTTGGCTAGGGAGGGACTTGCTGCTGGGGCGGCGGATTTGGAGAGAGCTTTTGCTCCGGAAACAGCCACGGGTTTAGCTTCTGCGTTCGGGAGGGTCCAGGAGGCCAGGCTAGCCCAGGTACAGAGAAAAGGCCCTTGGTAGACGCCTTCCGGGTCTAGTTAAGGGGGCTAGGACGCCACAGGATTTAGAAATCCTTGGCTTCCGGGGTTCAAATCCTCTGGCAGCTACCTGCTTTTTGTATTTTGGGATCCTGTTCAGAATAGTAGCAGGACAAAGGTTGCCGCTCAGATAGATTAAATTTAGCTACACCTCCATGGTAGTTGAAGAAACTGTGAACAAAGTTGTGAAACGGGCGATCCTCCTCCTAAGAGTCCGGTAGAACATTGGCTTTGCAGTTATTACCCTGTTCTATGTCAATTCTGTAAAGAGGACCCTACTCTGAACATCGGTTGCTGCTGCAGAAATTTTTTTTTGTGTTTTAAAGTTTTGTTAAACTCATGTGTCATGTGCTTTCTCACCTGCTTGGGTTATTTAGGCACCAAGAATGTTCAGGATGTTGTAATTCTCCATGTACTGAAAGGTGATGGAGTACAATTGCTTGGAGACCATCTGCTTTGTTCAACACTTATCTTCCTGCTGTATCTTTACATAATCTGAAATCTCTAAAAGATAACTTGAAATAATTTGTGGGAAGATGCTTACTTTAGTAGTATTACAGTTCTGTTTTTTATCATTTAAGGATTTTGGAATCAATTCATTACAATACTGTGTTTACATGACTGCATTAAATCATATAAACTGTTACCCATCTGGAGATTATTTATTGTAGGATTGCAAGATTGGAAATAGTACACAGGACCTGGTACAACCCCTCTTTTCTTCCAGATAAGGAAATTGACACTCGGCAAGGTAAGATTTGCCTAACTTCACCGAGATTAAGCTAGAAGTTTGGCATTTTGACTGTTAAGTCTGTTTTTAGATTCCATTTTAATGCGCTTGTTAGGTAGGTATAGGAGAGAGGTAGGAATAGGAGAGAGAATGGGATTAGCAAATGTTTGTAGAGTGATTCCTTTCAAACTCCCTGTGGTCCTGTTAGTTTTGTTCAATCCTATGGCAGTTGTACAGCTGATTTCTAGCCATTAGCCTAAGGAAATGCTCTCTGAAAATGTGTTAATATGTACATTTCTAAAGGTGACTAGCGGCGTTCAGTTATTATAGGAAGGAGAAACAACATTACATTTACATGGTTATAAATATCAGATGGACCTTTAGTTGTCAGATTGACTACTAAATTTACTGGCTGTCATGATCAAGTGCTTGGAAGCCCCGGAGTTTATGTGGACTAAAGTCATATTACCATGCTCCCTTTTCACAATTTCAATTGAGAGTTTGTACAGGAGGTATAGTGAATATCTGTTTGTAGTCAGGCAAACCTGAGTTTCAGTCCTACCCCTGGGGTTGGGCAAGTTATTTGTCTGCTTTGATCCTCAATTTTAATATTTCTAGAATAGATATGATAACCCTGTCTCACACAGTTGTAGGAATTAAATGAGAAACATGAAAGGCCTTGGACTTAATAGGTCCTCATTAAATGACTTACTGTTAGCGTCTGAGCTTTACTAGTCTATATGGGTTGTCAGAGATTTTTCTTTGTGAAAGTACAACAAAGAATTACTAAAAAAACGAAACAATAACTGTTAGATTATTTTATAGCGGAGAGATTATTGGCCTGAGAAGTCTAAATTATGAACTCTGATCTGTTTATCCTTTAATTTCTAAGTCTCATTTTGCTCAAATATAAAATGAAGGTGTAAGAAATTCTGTAGATTTTGAAGCATTCTGAGCAGTAAGAGACCTACTAGAAAAGGTTTGAAGATTGAGATAAGGATGCAGAGGTACAAGAGTGCAGAGGTGTGTAGTTACACTTAGGGTATGAGGTATAAAAGTATTATAAGGTATATATACCATATATATATATATATATAAGTTTATAAGGTATAAAACTAGACTTGAGATTGACTATTTTCTGGGCCAGAATATTTTCTGAAGGAGTGTTAATATCAGCCAGATCCTTTGGATTCCTGCCTTTCGGTATACCTAGAGGTATGACTGCATATATATTTGTCTAGATTATCTGTGGAACATAAACAATGGATTCCTTGGACCATATGCTGACGGATCCCTTGGAACTGGGTCCATGTGGAGATGGCCATGGCACACGTATTATGGAGGACTGCCTCCTGGGGGGCACCAGGGTTAGTCTGCCTGAGGACCTTCTGGAGGATGTAAGTAGTAGCACCGCCACCACCTTTTTCTGTCGCCTTGTGTATAACTGCTATGCTAAACCTTTTCCACACCCTACAAGTTTTCAGTCTTTCGTGCTCTCTTTGGTTTCATTTTATATATTGCATTCAGAGTGATCTCTCTCTCTTTTTTCCATGCCGTTCTGCCATCTTGGCTCCCTCCCCCTCTCTCTTTTTTAACATAAAATTTTTAACATTCTGATTAAAGAAGAAACTATAAGCTACATCCTGCATGTTTAATAATATGTCATTATGATGGTATTATAGAAGCCCTGTTTTTAACCAATTTTGACCAATTAACAAGAAATTGTATATTTTAAGGACAAAATTATGGTTGTGTTTACATTAAATTGGTTACCCACGTTGTGGATCATGAAACAAAACCCAAACATACTATCTCTGTTAATAAAGTAACCCTGTAGTCAGTTAATAGTGCATGGAGATTTGTGTGCTTCTGGCCTCTTTCACGGGTAGGCTGTGTAAACAGCATCATTATTAAGGTGGCTACTACTTATTAAGTGCTTATTAATATGCAAGGCACTACGTATGCCAAAACATGTATTTAACTATCTTGTTTATTTTGCCATGTTTTACTTATAGAGAACAGGTATAGAGCGTCATTTAGCAAACATTTATTTGTGCATTATCCAATTTTAGGAGATAATTTCACTTAGTTATAATTGGTTCAGATTTTTCTTCCATAATATGTCAAACATTGTAGATAGAATTAAAGCCACCATTTATTCTCTTTGCCACCTGAAGTAACAATTACTGAAGTTGACATATATATCCTTCTCATCCATGCTTTCTATACCTACTGTTTCAAATAAATTTCTTCATGTTATTCGTTTAGTCAGCAAACACTTTATGAAGTACCTACTCTCTGCCCGACACTGAGATACTAGGCATAAAGTGGTATGCAAAAACAGATTTACAGGGGAAGATCTTGGATACTGAGGTGCATTGGTACATGAATGCAGAAATGTCTACCAGGTGGTTGGATTTCTGGGTTGTCTCCTGCTTACGTTGGTGGCTCTCTATTGTCCTTAGGATAATGTCACAAGTATTTAACACGTTTATAGGTCCCTTGCTCCTCTTTTCTTCTGTCTGCTGCCCCCCCTCATTTGTGTTCTTGTCCTAGCCATACATTGCCTCAACTCTTTTAATTATAAAAAAAGTAAAATGTGGGGCGCCTGGCTGGCTCAGTTGGTGGAGAGTGTGGCTCTTGATCTCAGGGTCGTGAGTTTAAGCCCCACGTTGGGCATGGAACCTACTTAAGAAAAAAAGTGAGATGTATCATAAGAAGAGCATATAAAATCCATGTTTCTACAGTATGTATACAATTGAAGCAGTAATAAAACACCCAACTAGCTACTACTTGGGTTAAGAAGTAGAATGGGCCCATTCAAGCAGTATCATTCAAGTGCCCATCTCATCCCTCTTCATTCTCCCCGCAGGTAACTGCTGTCCTTTCTTTCATATTAATTCTTACGTTTTTATGGTTTTGCTCTGTGGATTTTAAAAATTTTTATTTATGTATTTTTAAGTAATTTCTGTGCCTGCTGTAGGGCTTGAACTCCTGACCCTGAAATCAAGAGTCACGTGCTCTACCGACTGAGCCAGCCAGACACCCCTGCTCTGTGGACTTTTAACTCTCCTGCCTCATCATCTTTTTTTTCCCCTTTCCTTATCCCTTAATTAACTACCTTAAATGTCACTTCCTCTGGTATATGTTCCCTGACATCTAGAGTCTGGGAGGTGTGCTTCTCCTATGTGCTTATATGCACATTAGCACGTCTTAAGCAACATTGTAATTGCTTGTTTTCCCCTCCAGGCAATGTGTATACCATCCTGCTGCTGGTCTCTCTTGTGAGGTGACCTCAACTCCTCAAGTTCTCTCCCATGTTAACTGTTTGCTGCCCCTCATTTTAAGCTGAATTCAGTTGTCCATCATACCCCTTGTTGGCAGAAATGAAATTCTCTTTACTGAGATTGTTTTTCCTTTGGATTATTTTTAACATTAAAAAAATGTTTGTTTATTTTGAGTCGGGGGGAGACAGACAGAGAGAAGGGGAGACCGAGAGGGGGAGAGAGAGAATCCTAAGCAGGCTCCACACTCAGCGCAAAGCCTGACCTGGGGCTTGATCTCATCAACTGTGTGATCATGATTTGAGCTGAAATTAAGAGTCAGATACTTAACCGACTGAGCCACCCAGGCACCCCTCCTCTGGATTATGATTTACTGTTGGGTATAAGATAGTGGTTTATATGTAGTCTTTATTATTCTCTATAAGATTTGAGCATTGAATGAAGATAATTGACACGTTGGTTCAAACAAACTTAAGAACTTGGATGCAGTGATGTTTACACAGCTCTGTGAATGTACTTAATATCACTGAGGTGTACACTTAAAAATGGATAAAATGGTAAATTTTCTGTTCTGTATATTTTACCGCTCACAGGAAAAGTTAAAAGCTTGTTTTTCTCCTGGTTTTCTGAATTCTCCTAGCCCGAAATATTCTTTGATGTAGTCAGCCTCTCAACATGGCAGGAAGTATTGAGTGAGTCTCAGCGTGAACACCTCCAGCAGTTTCTGCCTCACTTTCCTGAAGACAGTCTCGAGCAGCAGAATCAGCTCATCCTAGCCTTGTTCAGCGGGGAGAACTTCCGCTTTGGGAACCCTCTGCACATTGCCCAGAAGCTTTTCCGAGGTATGCTGCTTGTCATTCTATTGTTGAGAGGAGTGGGAGAAGTAGGAACACATTCACTTAACACGAATACTCCTTCTTCACTTATTGAACTTATTTTTGTGAACACATACTGGCTCAGAGACTGGTTGTGTGCAATACTTTGCCTAGGCCATTCTTTTCAGTAAAAATTTTTAACTTACATAGGAAACATAAATCATAAGTGATTGATTGTAGTAAGAACTGTGTAACCACAACCCAGATCAAGAAATAAAACATTACTAGTGTCTTACAGCACCCTTTATGACTAGGCTTTAAGAAAACTTAGAAATAGTTTACCATTTACTTGACCACATGTACATATGTGGATGTATGTATTTGTGCATCACACATACATACACCTTTTTCTCCTGCAGAAAACATGATACTTTCCTGCTAGGCACTTCAGCATGTATGTATCCTTTAACAAGGACATTCTGTGTAATCACAGCCCCGTTACCACACCCAAGAAATTTTGCACTGAGCAAATAAGATCACAGACTGTCTCACATTCAGGTGTTCTCAATTGTTCCCTAAATCTTCTTTATAGTGGTCACTTATTTATTTATTTATATTTTGAGAGAGAGGGCACATGTGAGAGGGGCAGAGAGAGAAAGAATCCCCAGAGGGAGGGAGGGAAGGAGAGAGGGAGAGAGGGAGAAAAAGAAAGTGGGGCTCACCTGAAGTGGAGCTTGTGTTTTACCTGAAGCAGGGCTCGTGCTCACCAGATGGGGGACTTGAATTCATGAACCGTGAGATAATGACCTGAGCCGAAGTCAGATCCTTAGTGACTGAGCCACCCAGGTGCCTTATAGTGGGTCTTTCAATTCAGGATCTCTTCAAGGTTCATGTATTGTGTTGGATTTCATGTCTCTTGGCTCCCTGAATCTGGGGCCCTCTGCCTTTTTTTCTTTGTCTTTCAAAAGCATGACTTGTTTTTTTTCAATTTAAGTTTAGTTGACATATAATGTTAGTTTCAGATGTACAACATTGTGATTCTGTATGTATATTCTGAAGTAATCCCCATAATACATCTAGGTACCATCTGTCACCATATAAGTTATTACATATTATTAGCTATATTTTTTGTGTTATATATACATTGTATCCTTTTGTCTTATTTTATAACTGGAAGTTTGTAGCTTTTAATCCCCTTCCCTGTTTTGCACAGCCTAACCCTTGCCCCCCTACAAGGCAGTCACCGCATTGTCTATATCTAGGAGCCTGTTTTTTTAGTTGCTCACTTGTTTTTCAGATTTTACATAAAAGTAAAATTATATGGTATTTGCCTTCCTCTGACTTATTTTAGGAAGCATAATATCCTCTGGGTCCATCCATGTGGTCTCAATGGCAAGATTTCATTTGTTTTTTAAGCTGAGTAATTTCCATTATGTATATGTAAAATGTCTATCCATATATTTATCTTTATCTATTCATCTGCTGATGGACACTTAAGTTGCTTCCATGGCTTGACTCAGTGCACATAGGGATACATATACACTTTTGAGTTAGTGTTTTCAGTCCCTTCATATAAATACCCAAAAGTGGAATTGCTGGATGCTAGTTCTTTTCTTCATTTTGAGGAACTCCATACTATTTTCCACAGTGGCGGCACCATCTTTCGTTCCCACCATTAGTGCACAAAGGTTTCATTTTCTCCACATCCTCATCTACACTTGTTATTTCTTGTCTTTTTGATAATAGCCATTCTTTTTTAAATTTTAAATGTTTAAAAAAATTTTTTTAATGTTTATTTATTTTTGAAGGAGAGAGAGAGAGTGAGCAGGGGAGGAGCAGAGAGAAAGGGAGACAGAATCCAAAGCAAGCTCCAGGCTCTGAGCTGTCAGCACAGAGCCCGATGCAGGACTTGAACTCACCATGAGACCATGACCTGAGCCAAAGTCGGATGCTCAACTGACTGAGCCACCTAAATGTTTATTTTGAGAGAGAGAGTGAGTGAGGACGAGCCGGAACGGGCAGAGTGAGAGAATCCCAAGCAGGCTCTGTGATGTCAGTGCAGAGTCCAACATGGGCTTGATCTCAGGAACTGTGAGATCATGATCTTGATCTGATCAGAGATCCAGAGTCAGATGCTTAACTGACTGCGCCACCCAGGTGCCCCAATAATAGCCATTCTGACAGGTGTAGGTATCTTGTGGTTGTGATTTGCATTTTCCTGGTGATTAGTGATGTTGAACATCTTTTTCACTTATCTGTTGGCCATCTGAATGTCTTCTTTGTATAAATATTTATTCAGGTTCTCTGCCCATTTTTAACTGGATTGTTTTTTTTGGTGTTGAGTTGTAGGAGCTCTTTATATGATGCAGATATTAACCCCTTATTGGATAAATCATTTGCGGATATATTCTCCATTCAGCAGGTTGCCTTTTTGTTTTGTTGATGGTTTCCTTTGCTTTCCTTTGCTTTTTAGTTTGATGTAGTCTCATTTGTTTATCTTTTGCTTTTGTTCCTCTTGCTTGAGAGAGAACCAAAAAAATATTGCTCAGACTGATGTCCCAAGAGTTCACTGCCTGTGTTTTTTTCTAGGAGTGTTGATGTTTACATTTAAATTTTTAATCTCCTTGGAGTTTATTTTTGTATATGATGTAAGAAAGTGGTCCAGTTTCATTCTTTTGCATGTAGCTTTCCAGTTTTCCTATCACCATTTGTTGAAGAGACTGTCTTTTTGCCATTGTATATTTTTGTTTTCTTTGTTGTAAATCAATTGACTGTATAATTTGAAGGTTTATTTCTGGACTCTGTTCTGTTCCATTGATCTGTGTGTCCTTTGTGCCAGTCCCATAGTGTTTGGATTACTGTAGTTTCACTGTGTAGTTTGAAACAAAGGAACGTGATATTTTGTGCTTTTTTTTTTCTTTCTCAAGATTGCTTTGGCTATTTGGGTGGTTCCATACAAAACACACTGATAGTTTTGAAGAGTCCAGGGCACTTGAATTGTAAAATGTCCTGCTTTCTGGGGAATTGTCTTGTTTTCTCATGATTAGATTTGGGTTAAACGTTTTGCCACAAATATTAAATGGGAAATTTTACCCCGCCCCAATCACTTCAGGAGGCACGTGATGTCAGCTTTTCAATGTTGGTAATGATGCGTTTGATCTCTTGGTTAAGTGGTATCTGCCAGACATACTGTTTGTAACAGTATATTTTTTCCTTCCTAATTAAGAAGGAAAATGTAGGATTAATACTTTGGGACCACGTGATACTATTCTTACTCCAAAGCCTTTGGTTTACTCAGTGGTTTAACATCCATTGATGATCCTTGCTTGAATCTGTTATTACACTGGGGATTGCAGGATGTTTTGGGGCTACTGTTAAGCCACCATTTGCTCTCCAATGGAGAGAAGCAGAGGGAAGCCTCTTCTCCCCTCTTTGGGGTGACTTTGCTTTGGCAGGCAGTCCTGAAAGTACAGTGCATCTTCTTGAGTTTTGTTAAACTGGGCAACGTGATAGCTACAGAAGCCTGGAGGGAACAGGCTTATCATTGCAGATCTTTCATTACCTCGGCTATTTTAAAACTAGCATTCCCTCATTTGGTGGGTTATTGGTTTAAAGAGGAATTCTCCTCTGTAGTTGGCAAAGGTTTCCTGCAGCCAGCGGCCTTAGGTGGGAGTAAACCGTCTCTTCCAGTAGAGCTTGCCTGGTTTTAGAGGGGTTCTGTCAGGGACTTGTGTAGTGTTTGCACTACACAAACACAAAACAGTAGGATTGTCTGGTGAGGATACAGACAAGGAATGTCAAGACAGGAATTCCTGTGTGTTTCAGGTCTAGTGTTGCTGCAGATGTTTGCAGTTCCATGGTTGTTAGTTCTTTCTGAGCTGTCATTGTGTTCCCGTATTCTTTTACCTTGGGTTATCTTTCCTGATTCTGTTTTAAATATCCTCCTGTTTCATAAAGGATCTTGTGTCATAAACTCCTCACTTCCCACTTCCAACCTCCACCCCAGCTCCCTGTGTTCATTTCCATTCTGACCCACTTTACTTGTCTCAGAGGAAGGAGGAGTTTTTTCTTCTGTTTAAGATTAACCTGTGTTCATGATCCTTTCATCTTTTACATCCTCTGGGACCTTTTTTCCTCAGTTAACCATCCCTTCTGTCCTGTGGATTCACATTATTTCGCTATTCACTCCACATGCTCTTCTTCAGCCTATGGATGCGACCAGGGGTCTCAGACTAAAAAAAGTCCTCAACCATCTGTCCCCTCTGTTGTCTTCTGTCATTTGCCTTTTAATCTCTAAACTTGTTGAAAGGTATCCATAGATAGCTGTCTCTTTCAGTCATTCTTTCCGTTCCCTCATGGCTCTTACCTTATGACCTCACAGAGTGCTCTTACTAATGCCACCAGTGTCTGCTTTTTTTTCTTTCCCTTCAACGTTTTTTTACTTTTAAATTTCAGAGCTACAGAAGACTTCATAAAAGATTTTATAATGGACACTCATATACAGTTGACCCTTAAACAACACAGACGGAGGGGTGCCTGCTTCCCACTCACTCACAAATCCGTGTATAGCTCGATTCTCCGAGAACTTAAAAGCCTATACTGTTGACCAGAAGCCTTACTCACAATAATCTGTTAACACTTTGTATATTGTGTGTGTTACATAAATTGTTTTTACAATAGAGTCAGCTAGAGAAAACACTATTAAGAAAACCATAAGGAAAATACAGTTATAGCATGTACTGTAAAAAATCCACGTATAAGTTGACCCGCACAGTTTAAACCCATGTTCAGGGGCGCCTGGGTGGCTCAGTCAGTTGAGCGTCCGACTTCAGCTCAGGTCATGATCTCATGGTTCGTGAGTTCAAGCCCCATGTCAGACTCTGTGCTGAGGGCTCAGAGCCTGGAGCCTGTTTCAGTTTCTGTGTCTCCCTCTCTCTGCCCCATCTCCACTCATGCTCTCTCTCTGTCTCAAAAATAAACACTAAAAAAATAAATAAATAAAATCCATGTTCGAGGGTCAGCTCTGTTCTTCACCAGGTTCACCAGCTATTAATGTTAACATTTTACCACATTTACTCTCATCATTACTGCATATATGATTACCATCATTGTTTTGCTGAACCATTTGAAAGTATTGCGGACATTGCATCTCTAAATTTTTCAGCATTAATCTCTGAGGAATAAGAACATTGTCTTACATAACCACAAATGATCAGATTCAGAAATACTGTAAACACAATTTTTCTGTATTTAGATTTTGTATATTAATATAAAACATAATGTTGACATACTGTTATATAGTCCATGCTCATATCTCACCAGTTGTTCCAGTGAGCATTTTTTCCTGCTCCATGTCTCTGTTATTTTTTTAAATTAAATTTTTTTTTTTGAGAGCGAGAGAGCGCACGTGCATGTGTGTGTGAGTGGGAGAGGGGCAGAGAGAAAGAGAATCCCAAGCAGGCTCCACACTGTCAGTGCAGAGCTGGATGTGGGGCTCGAATTCATGAACATGAGATCATAACCTAAAGTAAGGCACTTAACTGAGCCAGCCAGGCACCCCGGTAGAGCACAGCATCTGTTGTCTTGACCACTTCCTCCATCTTGAGACTTTCCCCCACTTTGTATCAGTGGCTCTTCCCTGGCCTGGATGTCTTCCTGTGTCTTTGACACCCTGTCCCCTACCCCACTTTCTTTGCTAACCGCTCATCCACTCATTGTTCTTGTCTGTTCCTGCTGTTGAGGCTCCTTTCTTACCTCCTTACTTGCCTTCTTTCACTCACCATCTCTTCACTGATGACTGTTGTCTGGGCTGCTTTAGCAGCCATCTCCACACAGCTCCCAGAGTGAGCTTCTTAAAACTCACTTTGCAGAATATTTAGCAGTTGCCTTCACTTGAAGTAAAATTCAGTGCCTTCAAGGCTCTTTGTGACCTGGCCTCGGCCCACTTATCCAACTTCATCTGGTACTACTCCTTTTCTCCCTGTTATCTAGACCAGCACTGGTCAATGGAAATATTACATGGGCCATGTGTTCAAATTAAAAATTTCCAGTAGACATATTAAGAATTATAAAGGCAGTTAAGTTAATTTTAATAAGATTTTAATTTACCATAATTATTAATAATTTCAATTGTATTCACTTCATACAAAATATTTTTAACAGACGTATAGTATTTTTTTTAAGTTTATTTGTTCTTAGAGCGAGTGCACGAGCAGGGGAGGGGCATAGAGAGAGGGAGAGAGAGAATTCCAAATTGGCTCTGTGCTGTCAGTGCGGAGCCCAACATGGGGCTTGATATCACAGACTTGATCATGACTTGAGCCAAAAAAGATTCAGATGCTTAACCAACTGAGCCACCCAAGCTTTCAAAAAGTGGGGGAAACTAAAAACTGAAGGAATAGAATTTTAAAGAAATACAGAGGCAAAAAAGATATTAGTCTAATTTTTATATATCAAATAGCATCAATAGCATTGAACTCTGGGCTTGTTTCTTGAAGGTCACACTTCCTATTTCCCTACAGCAGGCAGCATAGCAAGGTGGGTAAGAGCCTGGGCTCTGGAGCTAGGCTACCTGGGTTGAAACCTGATTCCCCTTTTATTGGCTGTGTGAACTTGGGCAAATTATTTAACTTCTCTGTGCCTCAGTTTCTTCATCTGTAAAATGAGGATTTAGTAGTGCCTTTTTTATGGGGTTATTATGAGGATCGAGTGAGTTAATATATGCAAGGTCCTTACATAGTGGTGGTTGTCAGGTCTGTTGTAAGCATTTGTTATTACTTACCTTTGATAGTATTAGGGTGGTTGGGCGGAAAAAGAAAAACACTGTGTAATTTGATCCCTTATTTTATCTTTTCTAAGATTTAGCTTCTGAATCTTGCCCTCTCAGTTCTCATCATGGCCCATCTGCTCAAGTCTAATACGTCCACAGTGGACCTCTCCTTGACCTGTTTATTTCAGGCAGTGATTTCAGATGCTCAGGTTCAATGACAGGGTACCATGTTCAGTTGACCTTCCCATTGCCCTGGTCCTGCCCCAGCATCAGAACTATCAGCAGGTCTAATCCCTCTCTCAGAAATAGATCTCAAGTCTCTCTACTTCTGTACGTGCCAGACATTGTTCAATGTTGTGGAGGTGTAATGGCCTTACATTCGGAGAAGGAAAAATAGATGGTGAACAAGCAAATACTTACTGGCATTAAGTACTTCAAAGAAAGAGGAGGGTAATGGTACTAGAGTGATGGTAAGGAGCTGTGTTAGAACTGGTGGCTGGCCAGGGCTTCTCTGATGAGATGACAGCAGAACAGGCTTAGCGAGGGTAGGAGGAGCAAGCCGTGAAAATATTAGGTGTTAGTAGGAAGCATTGCAGGTAGAATGAACTTCAAGTACAAAGGCCTTGAGAAAGTCAGATACGTGGCCTGTTCAAGAAACAGCATGGAGGCCATTGGGGCTGGGGTAGAGGGAGGAAATGGGAGACTGGTGAAGATGAGGCCAGAAGTAGCCCAGGATAGATCGTGAAGGCCTGCCAGGCCATCTTTGGACCTTGGCTTTTATTCTAAGTGTGGAGGGAAGCCGCCATCATCTCACCTGGACCCTTGCAGTAGTTTTCCTTCTTCCTCCCTCCATGTCATTCTGCTTTAACCTCTTCAAATTATTTGCGTTCCACTTAGGATAAAATCCAGCTCCACCTGTGACCTGCAAGTTTCAGTGTGGTTGGATCTCCACCCAGCTTCCTCAGGCATCGCACGCCCCCCCCTATCTACAGCCCACTCTGTGTTAGTCATGCAGACATTTCTTTAGGTTTGGGGACATGCCAAGTTCATTCTTGCCTCAGGTCCTCCCTTAGCACAGGCTGTTCCTTTCGCCTTTTCACCATTTTTACTTCTCATTTGTAAATTCCAATTTATTTTCCTCTTAATGAAACTTTTTAAAACGTTTGTATAACTTTTACCAGCCAGTTAACATTTGCCACAATTGCTTTAATCAGACTTCATTTTATGTCTCATTCTTTAGAGATCCCTTTCCTGAAACTCCTCCTTACTCTCTACAATTTTTTCACGTTAATTTCCGATAGTACTTACAAGAGTTGACTATTTACCTGTTTGCCTGTTTCTTTTTTTTTTCTTTTTTTTTTATTTTTTTTATTTTAGAGAGAGAGCATGCAAGTGGTGGATGGGGCAGAGGGAGAATCTTAAGCAGGCTCCACGCTCAGCATGGAGCTGGATGCGGGGCTTGATCTTACAACCCTGGGATCCTGACCTGAACGGAAATCAGAGTCAGACACTCAACTGACTGAGGCACCCCTGTTTATTTTCTGTCTCTTATTGGACTGTAGACCCCACATTGACATAGATTGTTTTCTTTCCCCCTGTACTGTATTCTAGTTTGATACAGAGTTTACCACACTTTAAGCATGCATTAAATATTTGTTGGCCTGTCAGTACATATGTATACATATATATTTATATATATGTATATATATGTGTATATAGGTATAGGTATCTAGGTATATATGTAGATATATGTAGTTGTACTTCTGTTCTTTTAAGATGGACACTTTAACCCCGAGGTGGTTAAGTACCGGCAGCTGTGCTTCAAGTCCCAGTACAAGCGATACCTCACCTCCCAGCAGCAGTATTTCCATAGGCTGCTGAAGCAGATCCTGGCTTCCCGGAATGTAAGTAATGCTGGGAACTAGATACCAGATGTGGACAGTGAACGCACAGATCTCATGACTTCAACGGTTGGTTCAGGTACCAAATACAAAAGGTAGCAAGCACTAAGAGGAAAATGCTGCCAGTTAAGCCATGAAACAGTTAGGCTATATCATTCTAACTAATTTTAAGATGTAGCCTGATTTCAGAGATGTGAAAATATGGGAAAGTACCTCTTAAAATTGATGAAATATCAGAGCTTCAGTATTTACCAAGGTAAACAAATGACTTTGAGATCCATCTTGGATTATTAAAAAGAAGCAGGTTGCTCTGCAGTTGCTATATGAGAGCACACAGGCCTCCAGATATCCTGATGGATTAATAGTGCATCAGGCCTCACGGCCTTGGGATCTGGTAAGTCTGGTAATCTTTGAGGCAAAGTTGTTACGGTTCTAAGTGGTCCTTAAGATTCGATATGGAAATAGTTGGGTGACTGGTATAAAAGTGTTCATTCTTGAAGGAGCAGTTCACCCCTCAGATTTAAGATATTTTGCAACATAGTAATCAGTAGAGGCCCTTTTTATTTGGACATACTCTCTTATGTGCATCTCTGTGATCTGAAGGGAGGGACTTGAGCTTGTTAAACAATGTCTTCTCTTGAAGAAGATGTAGTCTCCAGGGAATGCACCAGAACAAGCTTTGGATGATGACATGTATCCTCATCTGATTGCTTCCTAGGACCTGCTGGAGATGGCCCGACGGAGTGGCCCGGCCCTTCCCTTCCGCCAGAAGCGCCCTTCACCATCCCGCACCCCTGAGGAGCGGGAGTGGCGGACCCAGCAGCGCTACTTGAAGGTCTTGAGGGAAGTGAAGGAGGAGTGTGGTGACACAGACCTGTCCTCTGATGAAGAGGGTGAGTGTCTGGGGGCATTTGGAGTACCTGGGGTGGTGGATCTACACCAGCAACTTGTTCAGTTGGAGCCAGTGGTAGCCATTTATCTCCCCAGCAAGGAAGCCATCTCAGTTGTCTGTCTTTGGTGGGGGTGGAAAATGGGGCTCAGAACCGCTTAGTCTTTGGGCACCGAGATGTTCCTGGTAGATGGGGTATGAGTGCATACCTTTTTTAGCATTGATACTTAAGTGGCATTTGAGCTTAGATGAGATGAATCCCTGCACAGCAGGGCTCTCCACAGTAGGCCTCTCTGGTCCTATTGTGCCACTTGAGAGAACTGCTTTTCCCCTTACAGGAGAGTAGTAGTGACTGTTGGCCTGCTGCAATGCGACCCCATCACTCTGTTGAAGTCTCTCTTCCTGGAAGAGCCGTTTAAATGACCTAAGTGTGCTCCAGTTCGTCTGGAGAAGGGTCAGAAAGGAATGGTGGAACCCTGGCCTCCATGTTGTTGGCTTAGCCTTGTTGAACCCAAATGGCCACTTACCCAATCTCCCCTATTGGAGTCCACAGCCACGTTGGATTTACAAGAAAAATTTTCTTTTGAAGATCTCAGCTCATGGCTTCCGAGCTCTCCAGCGCGTTCTCCTAGCCCTGCGGTGCCCCTGAGGGTGGTGCCCACGCTTTCAACCACGGATATGAAAACTGCAGGTGAGAACTGAGTGATGCCGTGGATGTTTTGGGAGATCAGGATGTAGATCTGAGAACTCCCTTAGATAGAGGTGGGCGCTAGATTCTTACCTGCCAGGGAACTGAAGCAGTGCTCTCTAGAAGTAGGAGATTGAGAGAAGTTTTTGTACAGTTCCACTTTTTTACAAGTTAGGTAGGCCTTCCTTTCTTCCTTTGTTTAGAAACTTTTCCTTAGTTGCTGATCAGCTGGTATTTTCGGCTAAAGAAAGTAGATTCTTAAAATAGTACTTAGGAGCAGTTCAGTAATAGAACAAGAGGGGTAACCAGAGCTATAGCAGTTTCTTAGAATGTCTGTGAAATGAGAGAGGAATTTTTAATTGGGGTAGGAATCAAAGAAGAATGTTAATTTTTGGTGTGTTTTGGAGCAGCTAAGTAACTGAGGTCGTTGTTCTTGATTGAGGTAGTGAAAAGCTGAAGAGTTCATCCTGTGACTGTTTCAAGATTGTTTGGGCTTGTAGTACACAGGACTCAGAAGGGAAACACGGAGAAACATGTTATATTTGAGTATCACAAGTGGCCAGAAAGATGTGAATTTGAGCATCATGTTAGTGAATGACCTAGTCCATGTGGTTTGGTTCGTTTTCTCTCAGATAAAATAGAACTGGGGGACAGTGACCTGAAGATAATGTTAAAGAAGCACCATGAGAAGCGGAAACATCAACCAGTAAGATTGGGTGGGGTGGTTGTTAGAGGTTTTCGGTCTAATGTTTTTGGATTGGCTATTGAAAGATGAAGGTAGTGACAATATCGTTATTTATGCTTCCTTTTCTGTCACTGTTGGGGGACAGGAGCAACAGTAGAGGCTAGTTAACAGCAAAGATAGGAGGAAGACAGATGCCTAACATAGCGTCTGATTTCATCTTTACAGCAAAACTGGTACATGGATCATTATGTCCGTTTTACCTGTGTTCAGAGAGGTTAAGGGGCTTGTCGTTGCCCCTTTGGCTAGGAAGTCAGGGGTCAAATCCTGTGCTCTTCTCACTTTTTACTCCTTCTGTTCCTTCACTTTGACCGAATCAGGGTAATGCCAGGGCAATCAAGCCAGTCCATCTGGCTTGAGGGGAGGAAGAAAAGGCAGGCCATCTAAGGTGAGATGGGAAGTGTCACACCCTGGAAGTCAGCAAATCCCTTAACTTCTCTGAACCCCATTCTCAGACTGTAAAGTACAGTGATACTTAACACGACTGTTTGAAGAGCACATAACATAAGGAATGCAAAAGAGCTTTATAAACTGGATGCTATGTAGTAGAAAGGTTGGAACTGAGTTCTCCTGTGCCCCATTACGCAGGGCAGTAGTTTTAATCTCCATACATTTTTTGATTCAGCATGATTTCCTCAAGTGCGCCCAACATCTGATTGTATCTGTTAGGTAAATTGGCAAAATCATTGGCAGTTTTAGCTCCTTATTTGGGCCTCTATAACAAATCTCTGAATATCACATCCAGGATCATCCGGACCTTTTGACAGGGGACCTGACTCTCAATGACATCATGACTCGAGTAAATGCTGGCAGGAAGGGCTCTCTAGCAGGTAATTGATATTCTCTGTAGGTAGTCATTATCTGACTGTGGTGTTATGTTACGTAGACTACTTACATGTGGCAAAAATAAATGAAACTACAGCTTTCCTTCTTGCTGATAACGTTTGTTTTTATCATTGCATCTTGTGGATTTATAGGTGGAAATGAATATAAAATCAGTACAGTAGATCTTTGTCTCTTTAATAGGTGCTAAAATTAACCTGTAAACCTTTATAACCTGTAAAATCTCTCACTAGGTTTGGTTAAAAAACAAAACAAAAACAACTAAATGTCTTAGTACTAAGACTTTTCTTTCTTTTACTGGTGGGTGTTGGGAAAATAACATGCAGATAACACCCCTCGCTTCCTGATGTACAAAATGCAGTTCTCTGATTTTTGTTGCCTTTTCTTCCCAGCACTATATGACTTGGCTGTCCTTAAAAAAAAGGTTAAGGAAAAAGAGGAGAAGAAGAAGAAGAAAATAAAACTGATCAAATCAGAGGCAGAGGATTTGGCTGAACCCTTAAGCAGTGCTGACGGGATCCCACCTCTCTCACAGGCCCCTTCTCCGCTGGCTATACCTGCTATCAAGGAGGAGTAAGTGAACAACACATAACCTGCTCAAGGGTGAAAGGTTAACCTGGGGAGTGTACCTAGTGCTCATGTGGAATGAGCTGGTATATGTTGAATCTGTGTAAACACACACACACACACACCACAAAAGACCTGAGTCCCAGGGGACCTGCTGGGGAATTTGTGTAGTGTGGTCCCTTACTGAACTTTTCTATGACTGTTAGGTTTAGAGGGCCTAAACCATCTGGGGATGTTGTCTTCATCTTTTTGGTTGTTCTTACATATTTTTTCCTTTGTTAGGCCTCTTGAAGATCTCAAGCCTTGCCTTGGAATCAATGAAATATCTTCCAGTTTCTTCTCTTTGCTATTAGAGATCTTGTTGCTGGAGGGGCAGGCTAGCCTTCCTATGGTAAGAGTTTTGGAAAAATCAGGTGTACGTCAGAGTTTTTGAATTGTGGAAAACTTTAACGGTCTCAAGCTAGAGAAGAATAATTTTGGATTCCTCTCAAAGCTCTGCAGTTAACTTGCTTTGTGACTTGCAAATATACTCTGGCTTGTTCTGGCACATCTCTGGAATTGCTGGTGTAGAGTAGAACTGTAACTGAGTTCTGCCTTTACTTTCCCTTAGCTGGAGGAACGGGTTTTGGATTGGCAGTCCTCTCCAGCCAGCTCCCTCAATAGCTGGTTCTCTGCGGCCCCCAACTGGGCAGAGTTGGTGTTACCAGCCCTGCAGTATCTTGCTGGAGAAAGTCGTGGTAAGGTACTTCTTTCTTTAGAGTCAGGTATTTTTTTCCCTCTTTATTTCATTCTCCTGGTAAACTGTAGGCTTCCTGGTTCAATCCATTATGGCTTTGCATAATGCTGTACCTTGGGGGGTCTCTGCTGTCCTGATACACTATCATACATTCAAGTTATCTCAGAGGTCAGGGATGGTAATTATTCTGAGTTTAGTGCTCTCTCTGACCTGTGTTCTTGTTCATGTGATTCATTTCTTGCAGCTGTACCTTCCAGTTTCTCTCCGTTTGTTGAATTCAAAGAGAAAACCCAGCAGTGGAAATTGCTTGGTAAGTAATTCATACTGCCTATCCATAGCAGTAGGTTTTCATTTTCTCACTTCCTCTGCTCAGCCTCTTTTGTCTTCCCGTCAATACAGTCCAGTAGAATCTTGAAAACAGCAATATTAAGCCTGTTTTGCTCAGTAAAAAAATCCTTCATGACCTCTTTAGTATCTCACACTAAGTTTTACTGCTGTATTGGATTTTGGCTTACCCCAGCAGGGGTGGGACAGCCCTTCTATTACAATGCATCCTGGTACTTGTGAATTTAAATCTGCAGGGGTATTTACAGTAGCACCCACATTTGAATTGTACCTATGGTTTTAGATTAATGTGTAATAGTATACTGTTTTTCTTTCCTAACAATGGGCTTTGCTGTTGAGGATAACGTGCAGTAAGATATTGGACAGCCGTTGGGGTGCCTGGGTGGCACAGTCGGTTAAGTGTCTGACTTCGGCTCAGGTCATGATCTCATGTTTCGTGGGTTCAAGACCCGTGTCAGGCTCTGTGCTGACAGCTCAGAGCCTGGAGCCTGTTTCAGTTTTTGTGTCTCCCTCTCTGTCTGCCTCTCCCCTGCTCGTATTCTGTCTGTCTCTGTCAAAAATAAACATTGAAAAACAAAAAAAGATGTTGGTTAGCCCTGAATAAACTATTTCCAAGGATTGGGATTCTTATTTTTGTTTTAAATCTACAAAGTCCCACTTACTAAGTTGTAGTATCATGCACCTGAAGTAACTTGGTGACAGTTATGACCCTGGTAAGAGGAAAATTCTGTGTTGATTTTCTGCTGAAATTCACAGACCTTTCTCTTTACCCTCTTGAGTGGTCTGTGAAGAAAGAGATGGAGAGAAGGTTGTGAACTCAGTAGATCCATTTATTTCTTACAATGTGTATTTAGCTTTTAGGTGTCAGGCATTGTGTTAGGTGCTGGAGTATATAATGAACGTTCATTCAGTTGAAATAATAAATATATACATTCTGGAAGGGGAAAGTACCAGAAAGGATGGAAGTTTATGTTGAGGTGTTGGTATATTCTGCAGAGTTGGGAGGACCTTCCTGAGGAAAGAACATTTCAGCAGAGACAGTAATGATGACTAAGAAGGAGCTAGGCAGGCTGAGGGGAAGAACATTCCATATGGAGGAAGCAGTATGGTTTTGTGGCGCTAGGGAAGGTTCAATTCGAAAAGATTGCACGAGCCCACATAGAGAGCATGATAGTCTGGACCTGAGGAGAGAGAATGGACCAATTTGAGAAAGTTCTAGGTGGTAAAAGCCACAGGACTTGGTTATGACTGGCTGTGGGGAGTGAAGGGAGAGTGCCGTCAGGCATCATTTCCTGCTAGATTTGTGCCTAGTGGTGAAGATGTCATTCACTGAGGTAGGCAGGTGTGGAGGACGTCTTGCCTCAGGTGAGGGTGAAGATCTTGAGTTTAGTTTTGGACATGCTGAGTGTGAGCTGCCTTTGAGGTATTTTAAGTGTTGATGTTGAGTAAGCAGTGGGGTGTGTGGATTTAGAATCCAGATGGGAGAGTTAAGGCAGAGAATTGTTGGCATGTCTGCAGGAATTGAAGCCAAGGCATAGGGAGGAAGTGTGAAGTGAGGAGAAAAGAGGGCCTTGGAGAAGTTCCAAGGCAGAGCAGGCTGAGCAGAAGTGCCTATGGAGAAGTGACTACAGACTTGGGGGGAAACCATGAGATAGTTGAATCTTGGAATCCAGGGGAGGACAGAGTCAGGAAGTGGGAAGTGGTAATTAGTTTTGATTGGTCCTAAAAGTTTCAGTAAGATAAAGCTCACGGATCTGTGGACATAGAAGAAATGGTGAATTTCTTGTAAAAATGCCTCTTTGTCAGGATGATGGGCATCAAGGACAGTGGGGAGCTGAAGGTGACCCATGATAGTTGACTGCAGCTCTGTCTGGCTCTGTAGGGCTGGTGGCTTGAAGTCAGCCTGGAGGGGTACTTATGCCCAGGGTGGCAGACTGTCTAGGATGAGATAATAAGGAATTTAAGTTCATGGACCAGATAAAACCGGTGGCCAGTTTGGTGACCATAATGCACCCTTGTAGATCTGCAGGTGCTACCAGTCAGGACCTCCTTTCCTGTAGCCAGTTAAACCTTTACCTGTACATGTCTGGTTAAAGAGACCGTGAATCTAAACATCTCTTTCTAGAGTTTTAGCAGTGGAGGGAATGAAAGTTAGGGAGACTTGTGACCAAAGGAGGCATTTTTTTTTTTTTTTTAAAGGAGAGAAAGTCTAAGAGAGTCCAGGTGTTGATAGGAAGAGTATAGTGGAGAGAAGGAGGCTGAAAATACAGGAGAGAAGGGAGAATTCACCATAAAAATCCCTGTGAAGATGGGGAGGGATTGGCCTTGGATGGCAGAAATGGCAGCACATTTCTTATTGTAGGCAGAAACAGTGGACACCCAGCAGTAGGCTCACGGTTGTATTGTGGGAACGTTGAGGGAGTTGGATTTGATGGCTTTTCTGTGTAAAGTAGGAGGTGAGAGAGGTGAGGTTGTCATGAGTAAGAAGGGGAGGTTGAGAGAATGGGGACATAGTTGCTGTGGTTATGGGAAGCTAGCTTGATCAGAGGTTATGTTAGATTGCCCGACAGCATTGAGGGTCCGTTGAGGCTGCTCATTGGGCATTTATAGTGGTATTTTTTGCCCTTTTGTGTGTTTTTTCTTTGGCAGCCCTCAGCTCTCTGAGATGAAGCATGGAGAATGTGGACAGTTGAGATTGTGAGTTTTGTGGGATTGGAATGATGTAGATACAGGAGCAGTGGTTAGCAGGTATTACTATATTGGTAAGATTGCCATTGAAGTGATGGACACGGATGGAACCCAGTAGGGAGGGAAATGTGACAGAAGGGAGCTTGGAGAAGTGCAGGTGTCAGTGGACTGGCAGCCCTGTTGAGTCACAGTGCTGTTTTGGTGGGAGAAGGGAAGCAAGCAAGGGTTCTGGATGACTGTGGTCTGGGAGCAGAAGGTGTGAATTAGCGTAAAGGCTGTCAGCTCTGGCTGTGTCTGGCAAGCGCTTGGAACTTTTTAAAAACACTGATGCCCTAGGTCTTACCCATAGACTTGTGTGGGACCTGAGCCTTAGTGTTTTTAAAAGTTCCCAGGTGATTCCTGTGTGTATGTAGCCAGGGTTGAGGGGCACTGGATTAGTCATGTTGAGGATGTGGCAGTTTTAGCTAATGACTACATCCAGTTGTGATTGTGGGAGTGAGTGGCTGGGGTGGAGTGGAGGGAGGAGGTCGTGAGGACAGAACCAAGGGGTTTGGATATTGGCTGTACCATCTGTATGGATGTGCCAGTTGCACAGTGTGGCAGGGAGTAGACTGGTGAGCCAGAGCTCCCCGTGAGGAATGGCTAGGTAAGTAGCTGAGAGGAGCAGGGGACAGGGTGGAACAGGTGGATGCTAAGATCCTTAGGTACCAGGCATTTGTTTTATTTTGATTTTCCAGAAGAGCTGGGGGGAAATAGTTTGGCATCAGTGATGGGATGGAAGGAGGAGCTCCACTCTGAAGGGTGTGGCTGTGAGAGGATAGGCAGCTGGCACACCTGAAGGTTGAAGGACTGGGGAGAGGCCGACTTCACACCAGGCAGGGATGTGGAGGGAGCGATGCGGGAACAGGATTAAGGCTATAGGGAAACTGATTATGAAGAAGCATTTCTAGAGGACAGAGCAGAGTACGAGGAATCTCCCAGGATAAGGAAGTTCAGCACATTCTGGGGATGGCAGTACCGCACATTGTCTAGTGAAAGCATGTAAGAGTCCTCAGAAGTGTCATCTCAGCTGCCTCTGAGAAGGGTAGGGCCCTGGGGGCTGTATTCTTCCCACAAGCTGTCGTGAGTGCTCGTCTCTCTAAGGAAGGTCAAGGGGTTCAAGCTTTTCTCCTGCCTGGGGGCCTTCTTACTGCTGTGCCGGTTGCCAAAATGTCTCTGGTGACCCACTAATGAGAAGAAGCCTTTTCTGACCCCCACACCCCACCATGATAAGGTAACTTTTCTAGGGTAAGCTTCCATAATATCCTTTGTGACACCTACCACTTTGAGGTTTTATTAATATGTATTCTTGTGTCACTTGACTGTAAACTCCATGAGAACAGAGACTGAGTTCATGGAATAACCCTAGCCCATGCAGTGCCTGGTGCACAGTGATTACTCAGCAAATCCCTAGGGAATGAGTGATTTATTTAGGGAACATCCGAAGTGGTGGTCCAGGCAGAGAGTGAATGGGAGGGCAGTACCTGCTGAGGGGATAGTATGTGCACAGGTCCTGATGGGTTTTCTCTCTGGCATAGGAAGAAGTGGGATTCTGAGTAACACTTTAGATTGTTTTATTATTATTATTATTTTACCTTTTTGTTTTTCTGATAGGCCAGTCCCAAGATAATGAAAAGGAATTAGCTGCACTCTTTCAACTATGGCTAGAAACCAAAGACCAGGCTTTCTGTAAGGTAAGGTATTAAAGAAATACCAGATCTGGGGCACCTTGGTGGCTCAGTCAGTTAAGCAACTGGCTATTGATTTCAGCTCAGGTCATGATCTCACAGTTTGTGGGAGCAAGCCCCTTCTCAAGCAGGAGCCTGCTTGGGATATTCTTTCTCACCCTCTCTCTACCCCTTCCCTACTAGTGCACTCATGTGTTCTCACCGTCTCTCAAAATAAATAAAAAATTAAAGGAATACCAGATCTTTCTTACTGGGTTTCCAGAGCCCTTAAATTAGCCAGAATTCTTTAGTCCATTTACCTGTTCATGTTTTCCTTTTCTCCAGCAAGAAAATGAAGACAGCTCAGATGCCACAACACCTGTTCCTCGGGTGTGAGTATAATACTTTAATGGTGGGTGGTTTTCCATGAAATTATAGTTTAAGGTACTGCCGTGGTTTTGCTGACATTTCTTAGCATGTTAGAGCCATAAGTGGACTTTAAAGATCCTAGGAGTCCACTGTTCTTACCTGCCTTAACATACCTGAGAAGGGCAGCACATTCCCATCAGTAAGAGTGGCTTTCTGAGCAGAGGATTCTGAATTGGGGGAGGACTGCATAGTGGAGTCTTTGAGGTGGATGTAATCTATCTTGTAGGAGGGCTTACTCTTTTCCCCAAATTCTCCTTCAGTTCCCATTTGAGAAGGATTCATCTAATCTGTCTTTCTCATTTTACCTATGAAGAAATTGAGTCATGAGTTCAAGTGACTTCCTGAAGGTTAGTGACAGGACTAGAATCTAAGCCTCTTGACCTCTAATCCTGAGCTCTTTATATTACATCATGTCATGTGACTGTTTCCAACCTGGTGTGGTCCCTTTTGTTACCCCCAGCCTCGTTGAGATACAGTTGACATATAATACTGTTTAAGTTTGAGATGTACAACATAATTGATTTGATGCATGCATATATTATGAAATGATTACCATAATAGTTGCATTTATTATCTCACATAATTGTCCATTCTTTTTTTTTGTGGTGAGAACATGTAAGATCTCTCTTCTTAGTGTGTGAACCAGTATTGGTAACTGTAGTCATCATGCTGTGCATTCGATCCCCAGAACTTACTCGTTTTCTAACTGGAAGTTTGTACCCTTTGACCTGCCTCTACTCATTTCCCCCATCCTCCAGCCCTTGATAACTACCATTCTACTCTCTACATTCTACACTCTATTTTTGTCAGTGCGGATTTTTTTAGATTCCACATATGTGAGATCGTACCGTATTTGTCTTCTCTGACTGACTTATTTCACTTAGCATAATGCCCTCAAGGGCCATCCATATTGTTGCAAACGGCAAGATTTCCTTTTTTATGGTTGAATCATATGGTGTCTTAAGGAATATATATGTTCATTGACTGATAGGCAGTTCGGTTGTTTCTGTGTTGTGGCTCTTGTACATAATGCTGTAAATAAGGGTACACATCTCTTTTCAAGATTTCATTTCCTTTGGAAGTGCACCCAGAAGTGGGGTTGTTGGATCATATGATAGTTCTAATTTTTTAAGGAATCTCCATATGCTTTCTGTAGTAGCTGAAGCAGTTTAACATTCCTACCAGCAGTACACAGCAGTTCTCTTTTCTCTATATTCTTGCTAACATTTGTTGTTTTTCTATCTTTTTGGTAATAACTATTCTAACATGTGTGAGTTGATCTCTTATTGTGGTTTTGATACATGTAGATTTGCAAATATTTCCTCCCATTTGCTTTTTCATTTTGTTTTCTTTGCTGTGCAGAAGATTTTATGTGATGTAGTATCACTTGTTGATTTTTGCTTTTGTTGCTTATGATTTTGGTGTCATGTCCAGAAAAGTATTGCCAAGATCAGTGTCCAAGAACCTCTTTCATATGTTTTCATCTAGGAGTTGTACAATTTCAGGTGTTATAGTTAAGTCTTTAATCCATTTTGAGTTGATTTTTGTGAGTGGTATAAGATGGGGTCCAAATTCATTCTTTCCCATGTGGATATCCAGTTTTCCCAATACTATTTATTGAAGAGACTGTCTTTTCCCCATTGAGTGTTCTTGGCTCCATTGTCAAATATGGAGCCAGTGGTTTGACCATACACAAAATGGTTTATTTCTGGTCTTTTGATTCTGTTCCATTGGCTTATGTGTCTGTTTTTATGCCAGCAGTGTACTATTTTGACTATTATAACTTTGTAATAAAGCTTGAAGTCTTCATATGTGATGCTTCCCACTTTGTTGTTCTTTCTCAGGATTGCATTGACTATTCGAGGTTCTTTGTGGTTGCATATAAATTTTAGGATTTTTTTTCTGTTTCTGTGAAAAATGGCATTGGTATTTTGATTACGTTGAATCTATAGGTGATTTTGCGTTGTATGGACATTTTAACATTATTTTTCCAGTTTGTGAACATAGACTGTCTTTTCATTTATTTGTGTTTTCTTCAGTTTCTTTAATCAGAGTCTTACAGCTTTTAGTGTACACATCTTTCACCTCCTTGGTTGAATTTATTTCTAAGCATTATATTGCTTTGATGCTGTGGTTTGGTTCTTTAGATTCCTGAATGCCAGCATGGAGGGCCAGCCTGAATGTGACAGAACTGTTTATGTAACAGGGGTATAGAACTCACTGTCTCTTGGAAGCAGAAAAACCACCATTGTCATATTACAAATATGAAGTCTTTTGTTCCTCTAAGGCTGAATTTTTTTGTTGTCATTACATGGGGCTTAGCAACAGTACTGAAAACAGGTAAAAATGTCAGTCTCACTACCTAGTACTTTTCTGGATTTCTAAGACTCAAGTAATTTTTGGAAATACAGGAGTTACTTGGTAGGATCTGGAAAGTCAACTTTTGACCTTTGTGGGAACAGAGTACTAATGAAGGGACATTTTTTTCATGGTGCAAAGGAATGGTTCTGGGTGCTGGAGAAGGGGTGATGGATACAAAATTCTTTATGTTCCAGAAGAACTGACTATGTGGTGCGGCCCAGCACGGGGGAGGAGAAACGAGTTTTTCAGGAACAGGTAAGAAATACCTAGAACCCAGTGAAAATCTCTGCATCTGTGTGGCCATGCTGAAAAAGCTCTGAGCCCGATCTTCTTGGAGTCCAAATTCTTAGAGGGAATTCATACCCTTAACCTTAGACATTCTGTTGGTTGAGATTGTTTGCTGGGGGGTGGAAATGGTGTGAGGAAAGGGAGTAAGAAATGTTTTGATGGGTTTTTCTTCCAGTTAGCAAAATAAATTTACATTTATCTCTCAGTCCCTTTGGTAATGACTATGGCTTTGGAGACCACCTATTTCCACTCTGGTTGGCTCAGTATTCCTAGTGGAATAGCCTGTTCCCATTAGTCTCTCCGGGTTGATCTCCTACTGTTTGAGAGTGTTAGAAAGAACCCCACTAATTCTGACTTAGGTGCCTTGTTCCTTTTCTCTTGTTAGGAGCGTTACAGATACAGCCAGCCCCATAAGGCATTCACCTTTCGCATGCATGGCTTTGAGTCTGTAGTGGGGCCTGTGAAGGGTGTTTTTGACAAGGAAACCTCGCTCAACAAGGCTCGGGAGCACTCCCTGCTGCGCTCTGACCGTCCTGCCTACGTTACCATCCTGTCTCTTGGTATGTGCCATCTATTTGTTTCTGTCATCAGCTGTCTCTCCCAATCCCTGGCTTTGAGGGCTTTGAGGGTCAAATGTAGTTTTACGAGGCCTTGGAGTTTGGGACATGAAGGGGGATTCTACCCCCAGAGATTAATGCCAGGAATCAGTTTCTTCCCTGATGTCTTGGGCTCACGTTTACTTTCATTCAGGAATTTTTTACAGACCAGCCAACTAGCATAAATATGGAATTTGCTACCTCCAGGCTGATTCTTTCATTTTATTTTTTATTGTTTTTGAATGGATATTTAGCAGAGGAGATTTATTTTTCCTTTTATATATATACACATATATACGTATATATATATATATATATATACACATATATATACACGTATATATACACGTATATATACACATATATATATACACATATA